TTTTGGAACTCTGTGTCATGCACTTTCTTCTGAAATAGAATCTGTCAAACTATCCGAAGAGTACAAATCTCCCAAAGATTTGCTGTACGAGATTGAATTGCAAAAGGGCGTCATTGAAAATGACGACGATGATGTGAAGTTATATGAGCCTGAAGTTGGAGACATCATTGCTATTACAAGTGTCATACCGAAATGTGTTGGTGATTTGGACAGGCCCGAAAGGTCCTATCTGATTGGCCATGTCAAAAAGGTGAAAGAAAAAACTGAACATTTTAAGGTCTCAATACAATTGTCAAAGCCCACCCTTGTTGAAGAGGACATTGACAGGGGCAAAAGCGATATTACTCTTTTTGCTGTTAAGCTGATCAACATGACTACAAATGTTCGTATATGGAATGCATTAAACTCTGATCCAGAAGCAGCAAATAGGGGCATCCTTCGGAACATTCTGCAAACGGACTTTCTAGTAAGATGATTATCATTGCTTGCTTGCAGTACTTCAAATAATTGTCTCTATTGTTACTGCTTTTCATATAATAGTTCGATTCCAACTCTTGCAGGATGCTGAAACTTGTACCATCTGCTGTTCTGAACAACAATATGCTGCTGCATATTCGAACGTGAGAGGCAGAATCCACTATTCTGATTTAAATGAATCACAAAAAGATGTAGTTTTGAGCTGCATTAGAACCAGAGAGTGTCATCATCAGAATACTGTCAAAATGATATGGGGACCTCCAGGAACAGGGCAAACAAAGACAGTTGGTTTTCTGTTACATTTACTGCTTAGGATGGAATGCAGAACACTCACATGTGCTCCAACAAACACTGCAATTGTGCAAGTGACAAAGCGGGTAACAGAAAAAGCAAAAGATTCTTTTGAATTTAGAAAATATGGTCTTGGAGACATAGTTTTGTTTGGGAACAGGAAACGAATGAAGATTGATGATTACGATGACCTTTACGATGTATTTCTCGATCATCATGTGGATATGCTTCAAAAGTGTTTAAGTCCAAAATCTGGATGGGAAGATTCCTTACATGCCATGATCGGTTTACTTAAGGAACCTGAAAAGCAGTATAGTTTATACTTGAAAAGTATAGAAGGGAAAGAGATTGAGAAGTTTGATAGTAATGGCCATGCAGAACAGCATGATCTGAAACTAGAAAATGAAGACATAATAAGATTTCAAGAAAATGGTTATGATAGTGAGAAAATTTTTAAAAGACAAGAATAGCAAGAGAGGATGGAGGCGGTTTCTTGTCGAGGCCTTAAAAGAAAACATGAACAAGAATAAACCGAAGGATCATATGCTACCTTTGCGAAAAGAAAAGAAATCTGATGGGAAACATACAGAGGAGGAAAAATTACCTATTAGTCCTTTGACTTTTGGGGAGTTTGTGAAGAAGATGTTTGGTTATATCAAAGAATGGCTATATTTTTTTACCGTGAATTTGCATACACACTTACCAGCATCTGTTATTTCGCTAGAAGACGTTAAGAATATGTTTGCAGCGGTTGATTCTCTCAAATCTTTTCAGCCATTGTTGCATGATGTTCCAAATGAAGACTTAAAGGAAGCCTACAGTAGAGGCAGTTGCTTTACAAGATTTAACGTTGCAAGAGTAAACAGCCTTTTTCTTCTGGAATCACTCCCTTCCAAGTTTTCTGTTCCGTATTCTCCTAATAGAAGGCTGATAAAAGAATTCTGCTTGGAAAAAGCATGCCTCATTTTCTGCACTACTTCAGGTTCTGCCAAATTGAACATTGTAGATATGCCACCTTTGGAACTTTTGGTCATAGATGAAGCTGCTCAGCTTAAAGAATGTGAATCAACTATTCCTTTACAACTTCCCGGGATCCGTCATGCTATACTTGTAGGAGATGAGCGGCAACTGCCCTCAATGGTCAAGAGTCAGGTCTTGAGCTTTAGTATCTTTACTTTGTCCCTCTCTCTCTCTCTCTCTCTTTCTCTCTCACTAAGTTTGAGAATCATGTAAAGATTTTACCTTGGTAACATCCTTGAATTTGTTATCATATCATTATAGATTTCTGAAGGCGTGTATTTTGGAAGAAGTTTGTTTGAGAGGTTGGCATTTCTGGAACACAAGAAATACCTCCTCAATGTTCAGTACAGGATGCATCTGTCCATAAGCTTATTTCCAAATAGAGAGTTCTACGGCAACCAGATATTGGACGGTCAGAATGTTAAGGCTAGAAGTTCTAATAGGCGTTTCCTTAGCGGAAAGTTGTACAATTCATACTCTTTCATAGATGTGTCACATGGAAAGGAGGAATTTGATGACAAGCGTAGTCGAAAAAACAGAGTCGAGGTTTCTGTGGTCTCTGAGATAGTTGCAAGTCTTCACAAAGGTATTGTATTTTGTGCAAAACTAGTTAGAACTTAGGGCATGTTTACTAATCAATTATTCAATTTTGAAAAAAAGGGAATTGAGTCCCTGATTTTAAATTTCCTGTTTACTTTTGTATTTGGGAATTTAATGAGGCAAGACCCACCTAAAAGTTAGGAATTAAGTTCCTTGAGAAGGGGGAACTTATGAGTCACCTCCTACCCACGGAATTAAGTTCCCTTTTCTAAAAAGTAGGGACTAACTAACCTCTACCAAATCAACCCTATTTTAATTTAATTATTTTCTTCACACTGGGCTAATTTGTAACCACACTTATTTTATCCTAAAGCCTTCTTTTTTTCTTTTTTTTTCTTTTTTTGAAAAGAAACAAAAAATTCTTACTAAAGAAGAAGAATCATTACACAGAAAAGTCCTAAAAAAAAAACAACAAACCACAAAACAAAGCAAAGAAAGACAAAACGAAAACAAAAAATGGAACTAAAAAAACAAAGACCAGTCTCTGACTAGATCCGAGAAAAGGAGATTGCTGAAGTCCTTTTCAGGGTGAATCCAAAAGGCAATATTAACTTTAATCCAAATTCCAATATGAAATTTAAATCCTTCTAAAATTTTAGCAAAGAGTAGAATAGGAATTTAAATCCCCCTGTAACTTAATTCCTTGATAGATTAGTGAACACCTTAATGGAATTGTGGAATTTAGTTGTGTGGAACTTGATATCTTTTTCTTAGATTTATTTCCTATTCTTTTAATTCCTGATAAGTAAACTTGCCCTTATAATTTGTCATCGCTTTCTACTGGAATTGGTCTTAAGATGTATTGATAGGGACTCACGGTTTTTCTTTTTTGCTCTTAAAAGAATTTACTCTCACAAGGAAGAAGGTTCGAGTAGGTGTGATATCGCCATACAAGGCACAAGTTCACGCGATTGCTGAGAAAATTAAAGAATATACTTCACATGCTCAAAGTGACTTCTTTGTAAGTGTTCGCACAGTTGATGGATTTCAAGGTGGAGAGGAGGATGTAATAATCATCTCTACTGTCAGGTGTAATGGGATTGGCTCAGTGAGTTTTCTTTCCAGTCGCCAAAGAGGAAATGTGGCGTTAACTCGGGCAAGGTTAAACATTTGTGTACACTCGTAAATTCTGCAAAACCCGTTGCATGTTCTGCGTGTAGTTTTCCTTATACTATAATATGATGGTGCAGATATTGCCTTTGGATTGTGGGGAGTGGATCAACGTTAAGTAATAGTGGCACTTTTTGGAAGAAGTTAGTTGCCGATGCTAAGGAGCGAGGGTGTTTCCATAGTGCTCTTGAGGACAAGATCTTGGCATGTGCTATTACATTTGCTTTGCTTGAGCTCAACCAAGTCTCAATGTTACGTAATCTAGATTCACTTCTGTTTAGGGAGTCAAAATGGAAGGTATACTTTTTTTAACCTCTTTTTATGTATAAGTGCTTTATTTTAATTACATTCATTGTAATTGTTGCTGCTATATATTTATTTATTTATTTATTGGCTATTAGTGAACTCAAAAAAATGTGCAGATTATTTTTCCTTCACGTACTGAACAAATATAAAGATTAGAACTTTTTGGTCCATTTTTTTACAACTGAACTCAGTATAGTGATGTCCTGAAAAGTAAAGAGTGAATTCTGTCATCATTTTTTCATGCAGGTATGCTTCACCGATGCCTTTTGGGGATCAATGACAAGATTTAAAAGCAATACATTCTGCAAGAGAGTATTTGCTCTGTTGGAGAAGCTTTCGAGTGGATGGCGTCAACAACACATTGGAGGCAACCATGTTGTCCATGGTGGAATTTCCTCTCAATTTGTAGAGTACTACGTGGTTAACACACAGTCGTACCTTGTTTGGACTGTTGATATTCTGAAAGAAAATTCGCATTATATTCAGGTTTTAAAGGTTTGGGACATTTTGCCACAATCTGATGTACCGGAACTATCAAACCGGCTTGATGTTTTATATGGAAGTTATTCAGTGAAAAAGATGAGTCACTGCAAGTACATATGCTATGATGGGTAGCCATTTCTTCTATGTGTTTGATTCATTATTTGTTTATATATTCCAATTTCAGGAAGCATTGTTCGATTATTATTGCAGGTCCCCATTCCCTAAATGTGATCTCATTCATGTAATTGAATTTCTGCAGGGATTCACTCGTTCCAATGAGATGGCCAATAGACTCTGGTTATCAAGAAACTGATCCTGGCAAGTTATTATCTAAACCAGTGCCTTCATCAAGTCCAATGGATAAGCCAGAATCACCGTCAACCAATGACCGGTGAGTGCTACTACTTTTGTTTTGTAGTGAGGTATAATTACCTCAAATTGAGATAAAGGAGAGAAAAATTCATGTTTTCTTTCCCTGAGAGTTAGTCAAACGCTTAGGCCTGTGGCTTGCTCTCACATGCTCAATTTCTCCGGGTGATCAACTTTAGTAAATGACAATGGTTTTCTTTTCTTCGCAAAGACTGCGAGTCTCAGTGGGGCTCTAGTTTCAGACTCAAGCCACTAAGCGGGTTGGGGATTTCTAGATTATTAAACCGAAGAGAAAAAGTAAACCAATTATCTTAAAATATGTACAAGAATTTTGTTTCTCCTACAAGATGCTCGACCAACTCAAGAAGTGCTGAAGCTTATCCTGTGCAGTTATTGTCAGAATCCGTGGGATTATTCAGTCCTAAGGATGAGCCAGAAACATCATCATCAACAACTAATCTGTAAGTGCCATTGCAGTAAAATGACTCCAGATTGATAGAAGTAAGAGCATGATTGCACTTTTGCTTCAGCATGAATTGACCAATCGGATTGAAATTCTACAGGAATTTGATTGTTTCAAGTTGCGTTGAAGATGATCCTATTGAGTTATTGTCAAAATCATTTGCTTTAGTTAGTCTAAGGGATAAATCTGAAGTATCATCAACAACTAGGAGGTGAGTGCTATGTTCAGAATATCATCAATAGAAATTACATGCTCAGGCACACAGCATTAACCACCATCTACTTGAATTTCTAGAGGAACTTGATCGTTCCAATGAGATGTTCCATGGACACAAGTGACCAGTGAAGCTGATCCTACTGACTTATTGTCGTGATTACTGGATTCGCTCGACCTAAGCCGATCCTAAGGAAGTATCAAATGAAAAATAATGGTGCATTCTAGATTCAAATTATTAGCGGAAGAAATCAATTTTTTTTGTGCTGCGAGATGACTTCAAATTGAGAGAAAGGAGAAGACTGCATTGTGGTCACTCAAGCATTAGGCTCAACTGCTTGTATATTTCCGTATAGGTTTTTTTTTTTTTTTTTTTTGATAAATAACCATGAAACTATAATTGATATGCAACAATACTGCTAGTTATAGTTGCTACTTACAAATGAACAAAAAATTCACTCTAAGTCTCTAATAAACTTTCTTAAGTTAAAAACTCCATGTTATTTTATTTATTTATTTTGCATACTTGCAATATATTCAATGATGTCCCATGAATAAGAAAGTATGGGATTCCAATCTCAATCCTTATGATGCAATTTCATGTTCTGTATTTTGTTTTCCTTCGCAGATATAATTGTTGCTGGTTACTAATCTCCGATTAGGGTCGAATCACTTACCTACTTTCTTTCATAGAATATGCATAGATTGTAAATTTTTAAGGGAAATTTTCCCTTCCATTTTCTTTATTTTTCGAATGGGGATGGATGAATGGCCTTTTCTTTTCTTTTCTTTTCTTTTCTTTTCTTTTTTTTTTTCTCGTCAGTGCTTTGTATATTGTTGGACTTGGTTTATATTTCCCTTAGTAATAGATAATCTATAGTCAGCAGTCACAATGATTGATAAGTGCAGTACCAAGTTTCTAAGAAATTTCGTTTTTTTTTTTTGAAATAAATTTCAAGTTTGTGGTCACACTTTTCCCAGTTTGTGTCGAGTAATGTTTATGGAGATTCTGCCATACGATTTAAAAACCAAATAATTCTCATAATATTCAACTTCATCAGTTCACTGTCTTATTTAGATGTTATGGTTGCATTAAATGGTAATTTTTATCTAAATTTATTACAATCGAAAGCCTTCATTTGGTTGCAGTAAATGGTAATATTTATCTTTTTTAATATATTTGATGTTTTGTTGGCTTTCGGTTGTAATAACGGAAGTGGTTTCTTCACTTTTTGTTGTAGACGTAGTCATTATGTTTAGTTTGCAAGTTGTCTTTTTTTACGGTGTTGTGATAGGTCTTAGTGCTTTTGGTCTTCGATCTTGATTAATTAGCGTTACTCACCGTATATAATGGTGTGTTTTGAAAGAACCATTTGTGTGTGCTTTTGGTCTTCGATCTTGATTAATTAGCGTTACTCACCGTATATAATGTTTAGTTTGCAAGTTGTCTTAAATAGTTGTGTACCTCTTCAATTTTTACTTGTTAGAACTCAGTACACGTTACTCTCTTGAACGTTTTATAATCGATTGGTGGTTCGAGTCCATGATAGAGGTTGAGTCGCTAAATGTATTGGGGTCTTTCGCGTCTTGTATTTCTCTAATTTAAAATGCAATTCCCTAAAAAAAAAAAAGAAAAAGAAAAACTGGTACCCTTAGTTAACAAGTGGTGAAAGTCATGTCAATTTCCATATGGGTCAAAATGGAGTTATTTGTGGATACACCGATATTAGAGTTGGGTATTACTGTTATGTAATTTAAAATTTTACATGTTTAATTACTGATTATTTTGGAATTATATGTAGTATTTGAGCATTTTTGTAAAGATTTCGATTCTTATATACGGTGAACAAGAAATACATGCCTGCCTTGGCAATAAATAACACGAGTTACTACAAATTTTCTTTTATATGACCACTCTCTTTTTTTAAAAAGAACAAACTCTTCTCATAAATTTTAAACTGGATAAAAAAAAAATCTAGATACGTCCAAATCGAGTTCTTTAATTTTTTTTATTTACAAACTATCGTACTCGCTATTTAAAAATAAAAGCCAGATAAGTAGTTGCTTATTCAAATTTCCAACAACTCATAGTAAATCTAGACAAAATAATGAAGAAAATTGAGAGAAATTGTTGTATTTTTCAAAATTGCAAACTGGAGAAGTCTTGATTCTTGTTTTGACTGCCGTCTCATGGTTATATTTTATATTTTTAATTCTTTATTTTTTGGGTTTTATTCATGAGGTTTTTTTTTTAAGAATTATTTAGGAATTGTTTGAAAATTTGGATAATTTTTATTTATTAACGGATAAATATGACAGTTACGGGAAAAAAAACTCGATTTGTTACTTTTTATCTTGATGCAATTTACAAATTGGAATCAGTAGATTAGTACTTTCGAAAAGAAAACATCTCTCCAGAAAGAAAGACCAAAAAGCAAAGAAAACCAATAGCTTACCCTAAATAGTAGCTCATCAATTATTTATACATATATTGAGAACATGCATGATCAATATTAATAAATAAATAAATAAAAACACACAACATTAGCATGGAAAACCAAAAGCCGTTTATCTTTTAGAATGAAGGAAAAAATAAAAATAAAAAAATAACAACAACAAAAGAAAAAGGAGAGGCCGTTCATATATCCAAGAAACCTGTTCGTTGCACTTAACAAAGTACACTGCTTCTACAAATGCTTAATCATTCCTTTCCAGTTTCCAACACTCATTGAACACGGTTTATTTATTTATTTATTATTATTATTTATTTTTTTTTTTTCAATGTTATAAAACCCTGAACATAATTTTTTTCAAGTTTTCACATTTGCTTCTTTTTGGGTACTTGTAAGTTTGCTTCGTTTTGTGTTCTCTCCCAATGACTTTTCTTGTCCTTCTTTTATCATCTTGACGATTACGTCTCTCTCTTTCTGTCATTTTCAACTTTTTTTTTTTTTAAGGAGTCTTTTTCGACTTTTTCCGACTACTAGATAGCCTACTCTTTAAATATGTACACACATTACACACGCACATATATATATATATATACACACACACACACACACACATGTTTATATGTTAAATATATAGTTTATATATATTTTAATACACATGCCTGGATTTTATACTAGTATTTCCAGGAGATGAAGTAAGCTAGGCGGTCCTACAATAAAGGGGAAAAAAAAAAGTACGTGCGTAAGGGAGAAAAAAAAGGCGTATTAATTATGCTACTTTATTGAAATTGACCTTAGGTCAACTTGTAGTCGGTCCGAGGAATCAAATTATGATAACACATTTGTGCGAACGTCCCTTTTCCACACGGACAAACAACTTCTTGTAGAAGTAATTTTTCCTACAAAAAAATTTGAAAAAAAAAAAAAAAAAAAACAAAGAAAAGAACCTTATTGTGCAAGGAAAGGAAGGGATTTTTTTCCAAAGCAAAAAAAGCATATTATATGGTGTCTGAAACATTGTCTTTTGTGCACAGTAACGTATATTACTATATAGGCATAAGCTTCTATTCTATCCTTTGCTTATTTTCTCATTAATCATTTTGTTTCTGTCTGTTTAATTCTCTCTCACTCCTCAGAGAAGTGGCCTTTAGAGATCAAAACATGCAGATGAACGAAGAGAAGAAGGAAAAGGCTGTTGTGGGAAGAAGTTTAATTGATTTCGTCTTCTCTTGGTCTATCAAAGATGTTCTCAACAAAGATGTATATAAACACAAGGTACGTATAGACACATGCATATATAGATTCATGCATGTACCCATATATATATATATATAATATAGATAATGTTAACTTATTGGATTGTGTTTGTGCTTTAAGTAGAATTTTATGTAAAGATTAATAGGCAATTGATTCTGTTACATTTCCTTTCACATGATGTTAGAGTTTTGTTTTCTTGAAATCATGAAGACTTGTTTTTTTTTTTTTTTTCTAATACAAAAATGAATTTTTACAATTATGTGACCAGTGTAATGATTCCACACAAAATAGGTGATCTTCATGCATGGAAAATTACAATGAAGTGAAATTTGGTTTTATGGCTCTGTTCTGTTTGTGGAATAGATTTATGCTTCCATATATTTCCAAGTAAAAAGTGAAAAAAAAAGTGTTAAAAATGAGGTATATCAAGAGGTCATATAATTAAGATTTATGGTTTGATTACTGTGATAATTGATCAATTTACTTGAAACAATGAATGTCTTGGTCTGTAGGTCAAGCAGATACCGGAAACATTTTCATCATCAGCAGATTATTTTAAGTCATTCGTTATGCCTCTTGTTGAGGAAACGCACGCCGACTTGTCGTCGAGCCTGACAACACTGTCGCAGTCCCTTTCTTGCGAAATAAGGTCTGTCAAGAGATGTAAAGGTTACAAACTTCCAAAAGACTTGTTCTACAAAATACTATTGAAAGCGAGTGAAAGGAAGGATGATGCAAAGGTATATGAACCTGAATTCGGAGATCTCGTTGCTATAACAAGTTCCAGACCAAAATCCATTCGTGATTTGGAAAATTCCTATGTCATTGCTATGGTTCATGGAGTGAAAGATGATCTTTTACTCTCAGTACTCTCTTCGAAGCCTATCCTGTTTGAAGAGAGCATGGACAAGAGCAGGAAAAATGCAACACTTTTCGCTGTTTATCTCATCAATATGACGACCAATATTCGGATATGGCAAGCACTAACTTTAGATCCGAAAGAGCGGAACATGAGACTTATTGAGAAAGTTCTGCAGACTAAATTTGACGTAAGACATTGATCGAAAAATCTTTTATCTGATTTTTATTCATTTGTTTGCATAAACAATATCATCTTTGATTGTTGCAGAATGAAAAAAAGTGTATGATGTGCCACTCTGAACAGAAATTCAGTTTAGCAAATTTGATTGTTGAGAATGTCAGAGTCAGATCGTCGGATTTGAATGAATCCCAAAACGATGCGGTTTTAAGCTGCATCAGCACAAGGGAATGTCGTCATTGGAGTGATATCAAACTGATATGGGGGCCACCGGGGACAGGGAAAACAAAGACAGTTGGTTTTCTATTGCATTCCCTACTCGGGATGAAATGCAGAACACTGACATGTGCTCCGACAAACGTTGCAGTGTTGGAGGTAACAGAGAGGCTCATTCAAAGAGTTACCGAGTCGGCTGGATATGACACATATGGGCTAGGCAACATAGTTTTGTTTGGAAACGGGGAAAGAATGAAGATCGATGATCATGAAGACCTTTATGATGTATTTCTTGATCATCGTATCGACATACTCAACCATTGTTTTGCTTCGAAAACTGGGTGGAGGGATATTTTGCTTTCTATGATTTCCTTGCTCAATGACCCTAAACAACAATATCATATGTACTCGAAAGAAGAGGAGGATGATAGTGATGATGATGATGATGGGAAGAAGATTAATGTAAATTTAGAAAGTAGAGAAATAAAAAGAAATCAAGAAATGGGGAATACAAGTGACAAAATGTCTGAAAAGAAGAAAATCAAGAAAGCAATGAAGCAGGTTATTTTCCAAACCTTGAAAGAAAACAGGAAGAAGCAGAAAAACTCTAAGGATAAGAAGAAAGAAGAGGATATAGATGGTGTTTCCATTGAGAAGGTGCGGGAAGAAAAGCGCAAAATCCGTGGTAATCCTTTGAATTTCAAGGAGTTTTTAAAGAAGAGGTTTGGTTACTTTGCGGAAAGGTTATATTTTTGTATTGAGAATTTGTATACGCACCTACCGACCTCTCTTATTTCCCTACAAGTGGTGAAGAATATGTTAGAAGCTGTTGATTCTCTCAAGTCCTTCCAAAAGCTGATAAATCGGGTTGCAAGTAAAGTATTGAATGGATTTTTCAACAAAGATCTAATAAGTGAAGATGATACTGATACCTTTGAAAAACTCAACGTTGCAAGAATAGAGTGCCTTTCTCTACTAAAATCTCTTCCTTCGACATTTCCCGTTCCTCACATGGCTGATAGGTATACTGACACAAAGGAGATGAGAGAGTTCTACTTGGCAAATGCGCGCTTGGTTTTCTGCACCGTCTCGAGTTCTGCCAAACTGCACAGCAAAGGGATGTTTCCCTTTGAACTATTGGTCATAGATGAGGCTGCGCAGCTTAAGGAATGTGAATCAGCAATTCCTTTGCAACTCCCCGGAGTCCGTCATGCTATACTAATAGGAGATGAACGGCAACTTCCCGCAATGGTTAAAAGCAAGGTTTTAAGCTTTACTGTAATGTTTATTTCATTTCTTATATGAATTATGCGTAGTTTTCACTCATATGACGTCCATATAATATAACCACTTGTCAGGTTTCGGAAGAGGCTGATTTCGGAAGAAGTTTGTTTGAGAGGCTGGCTTCGCTCGGCCACAAGAAACACCTTCTCAATGTCCAGCACAGGATGCATCCATCAATAAGCTCATTTCCAAATAGGGAATTTTACGACAATAAGATTTTGGACGGTCAGAATGTTAAGCTGCGGAGTTATAGTAAATGTTTCCTTCAAGGAAAGATGTACAGCACCTACTCTTTCATAAATGTAGCTCAAGGAAAAGAGGCAGTTGATAGAAAACATAGTACAATGAACATGGTTGAGGTTGCTGTGATCTCTGAGATAGTTGCAAATCTTCACAAAGGTAGTTTTCTTGTAGCCAAACTACAACAACATATTAACTCTTTTAGATGATTATTAAAGTCATTGCTTGTTACTTGTAAGCCAAGGTACTGTAGATATATATATATATATTTTAGTAAAAGATGTTAGTTCTTACTTCTTTGATGCATATTAGCTTAAGATATATGATGGAAAATAACAATCTCTTATTTTTGGTCTTAAAGAAGTTAAGTGCTCAAAGAAGAAGGTCAGAGTAGGTGTGATAGCACCATACAAGGCACAAGTTCATGCAATAAGCGAGAGATTCGGGAAAAAATATAGTTCAGATGCTCAAAGTGACTTCTCCGTGACTATTCGCTCGGTTGATGGGTTCCAAGGCGGCGAAGAAGATGTAATAATCATCTCCACAGTGCGGAGTAATGGGAGTGGATCGGTGGGGTTTCTTTCGAATCGTCAAAGAGCAAACGTTGCGCTAACTCGTGCAAGGTAAACCCTGCATTATTATGCATTTTCGGTGCAGTTTTTGTCCTACTGACATGTATATAATTAAATATCCAGACATTGCCTTTGGATTGTGGGGAATGGAACAACTTTAGAAAACAGTCGCTCTGTGTGGAGCAAACTGGTCATTGATGCGAAAGAGCGCGGGTGTTTCCATAACGCTGATGAGGATAAGAACTTGGCTCAGGCTATTGCTGCTGCCTTGGTTGATGAAGCAGATAAAGACCCTCTTCAATCATTGTCTAAACCATTTGCTACACTCAGTCTAAGGGATGAGCCAGAATCATCCTCAAGGACTAACAGGTGAGTGCTTGATTCTAAATGAGGATAACAAAAGTTGTTCACATTGTCATTACATAGAAATCAGTTGTTAGATTCAACTCTTTTTTGCAAATATGAAAAATCATGTTAAGCCTCTTAAGTTCAAAAAAATCCTTTCCATCGTTTTGCATTCTTCCAACATATGGTTAAATTGCTAAATCGCAGAATCAGAAGTTTCTCAAATTTCCAGACAAAAAGATCCGGTGTTACTAGTTTGACTTGGCCAAGTCTCCAAAGGCGCATCTAAGGTAAAGATCGCAGTGTACCTGAATGGACTCTCATTCGATTCTCTCAATTTTATCTCTCCCTTTTCTTCATCCATTGAGTTCTGGATTTTGTGTTTAGATGCAGGTAAAGGACAGCCAAGTTCTGCCACCAAAACGAAGGTTGAATGAATCAGTTGAAACTGTACTGTCTGACATAGCTTACAATGTTATTGGGAATGATTTGCATTTGAAATGTAACACATAATTGAGTGCCTTGTCAAATGAAGTGTTTAATATGCTCCAAAATTTATGCCATTGTTTGGATGGTGGTTCTTAAAACAAACGAACATGAGCCCTTTCATTTAGTAGTCGAAGTTTCAATGGAAAAAAAAAAAACAAATTGTAATTAGTTGTTACACTTGTGCGATGCATGGAATTAACTAGTTTATACATCTGAAAAATATAAAGACAACAAAAAAGAAAAGTAGATTGTTTGTGTTACAAAATACAGAAATTATCAATAAGCCTTATAGAAGTTTAATAAAAGGGGGTGGAAATGGTAGGTACAAGCCCTATAAACACGTATAACATTTGAAATTAGTTTCGGCATTAATAAAAGTTAAATGTTTTGAACGTGGAAATTATGGAAACATCGACAGAAATCAATAATAGTATTGATCCTGGAACAAATATAAATAACTGAAAGTGTTTTAAGCTTGTGAAATGAAATAAACAGAACAAAGTAGTATGTGTTACAGTACGATGAAAAGGAGAGGAAAAAAAAAAGGAAGAAGAAAGCAAGAAATAAAGACAAGTTATTATTATTATTTTTTTTTTAGCAACTAAAATCATCTCCAATGTAAATGCTTGACAATAACATATTTGGCAAAGCAAGTATAAGAATAGCATAACAGCATATTCGATATGTTCAATTACATGTTAATTTTAAATATTATATCTATTTTTTGCCATACATTTGTAGCTCTAAAGTTTACATAACGCACATTTTTACTTCTCATACAACTAAAAATGAAAATATTAATTATTAAGTGAAAAGTGAAACATAACAACAAACAGGCAAGCAAATGTTAAAATTTAACCTATGTTATAGGTTCTATCCTTTGTACCAAGTAGATATATCAAATTTGACATTAAATTTTTCATTGCATTAAAGAATAGTTTTCTTAGTCAACTGTTAAATTTTGACGTTAACACAAAAATTTTTCTTAAATTATACCCTTTAGACCATCTCCAATGCAAATGTTACTACCAATTGTATATTTAACATAAAAAACTATATATGGTATGTTATTTTCATTTTTACTCCAATATATAATGTTATTTGAAATGTTAAATTTACTTTTTCTTATAATTATTAAGCTTTAGAAGTATTAAAATTAAACTTTTATTTTTTAAATAATTAGAAAATGTAAAAGTTGTATTGACTACATAGAAAAAGTAAACATTTCAACTAATAATAATCAAATGTCAAATTTCTCATATGCTATACTTAGTAGGAAATTTGACACAAAATATAATATATGAAAAATTTAGCACAACAAATTACATTGTATTAGAGAGTATTTTTTGTACTCAAATGTTAAATTTACAATTGACACATTAATTATAGCATTACATTAGTGATGCTCTTATAACGCTCTGCCTCCCAATCTTTAAAACATAATATTTGTTTTCTTGAAATGACAGAAAAACCCCCTCTGTTAAAAAATCTAATAATGTTTACACATGTCACATAAATAACAGTTGTTGTTGAACAATTTAAAACACAATCACTATTTTACCATGCACCTAAAATTTTTTTGTTCTAATTATTTACACGTAATATAGTTTAAAAAAACAAATAAATCTTCTTCACTCTAATGGCACAGCAAATCCACTGCCTCACAAGTCACAAAATATAATGCGTGTATTTTTTTAAAAGGTTTTTTTTTTTATTTAAATTATGATTCTGTTATAGTATTTTTTTTTATCTAACAAGGAGTTTAAATTCTAAAATTTTTTTTTGCAAAATTTCCGTCAATAAACTCAAATCATAATTTAAGTATAACGAGCCCTTACTTATTTTTAATGTGAAACATCATAACTTTTTTAATTCTACAAAAAATAAATAAGTCAATATTTTTAAAAATAAATAATACTTTCAACTTTCCAGTTTCCCCTCCTCTCAATATCACACAAAGACAACAAAGTAAAAAGTGGAACCGTAGAAACAAAAAATCAAAGGTCTGGGAATGTTTCGTTTCAGCTTCCATAAAAGAATTAAAAATAAATAAATCAATAAATAATTAAGTAATCGTTTCAGTTCCCCAGAAAAAGGAGGAGACCAGAGGGTAGAGAGCACACATGAACTAAGGACTTGTTCACTTTGTGGGTTCAAGTTTTTAATTTGAGTTGAGATGTAAAATTTTTTAAGTGTTTTTAACTGTAACAGAAAAAGTTAGATGTGATATTTTTTAAAAATTAATTAAAAATTAAAAATTAAAAAACTCAAATTGGTAAAATAAATGAGACGTAAACGTTCTATTTTCTTTTCTACTTCCTCTTCCTTCCATTTATTTTATTCTATTTTATTTTTCTGGATTTACATGTACGAGTCGTAGGGTAGTCTAAGGACGTATTGCATGCCATAATAAGGTACTTTATAAACTAAGCAAGTGTGATATACCAATCAATACATACATACAGGGAAAAAAAAAAGCAACAAATGTGTCGAGTTTTTCACACCTTTGTATCATCTCTTTCTCGACATGTCATCTTTTTCTTTTTTGGTCAGAGGATTCATTTCATAACCCATTTTTTCTTTGGATGAAAACAAAGCAGACATAGAAATACGTCTTGCCATGTCTTCTCATAAAAGAGTGTAGCTTTTTTACTTTGACATTGCTAGTGAAAGTGCTTTTGCTTAAGTGGTAAGCAATCCTAATTCTTTCTCAACATATGCATGTGTGTGTGTGTGTCTATATATATATATATATATATATATATATATCTATAATTTTTATTTTCTTTTGCTGTGTAGATGCAGACAGAAGTGACCAAAGAGGAAAATTAAGTGGAGATGAATACTAGGAATGGGATTCGGAAGGAAAAAGGTAGAGTGGAAAGACCAAGCTTAATTGATTTGGTCTTCTCTTGGTCTATCAAGGATGTTTTCAACAATGATCTCTATAAAAGCCAGGTACTACTACTATTACTTGACGTGCAAATGATCTAAAAAAAAAACGAGTTTAAACAGATTCATCATGTAGAGCATAATGATGGTTTTTTCTTTAAAAAAAAAAAAAAAAGAAAGAATATGGAGAGGGGTTTTTTCTTTTATTTCCTCAAAATGTATTTGTAATGAGAAAGTGTTTTTATTTTTTATTTTTTATTTTATATCTATGAATATGATATATTCTTCTCCACATAACCCTACTGCAGGAAGGGAAAAAGTTAATTTGTTAAGCTGACAATATATTCTTCATAAGCAATTCCTTTTTTGTCACCTCACTTTCTAGTGAATGATGACTACTTTTGAGGATATAATTTTTGTAAACGTTGATTTAGCAGGAACAACAATTTTTTCATATGAAAAATTCTTGATCATGTTGGTGGGCAGGTGAAGCAGATTCCTGAAACATTCTCCTCAGAAGCAGAATACATGGACTCATTCACCACCCCTCTTATAGAAGAAACTCGTGCCGACTTGTGTTCTAGCATGGAAACACTCTCCGATTCACTTTGTTGTGAAATTGAGTCTATCAAACAATGCAAAAGATTTAAACTTCCCAAAGATTTGTTCTACGCCATTAAATTGACAAAAAGAAAGGCAAAGATGAAAAATGATGATGATGATGAATGTGGAAAAGGAGACATCATTGCCATAACGAACGTAAGACCCAAACGCATCAGTGATCTGGACCGACCAGGAAGACCTTACGTCATTGCTCTTGTCCAAGGGTTCAATGAAGTGGATCTTACACTCTCAACATTGTCGTCAAAACCCATCCTGGTTGAAGACATCGTGGAAAAGAAGGAAAAGAGTGAACGCCTTTTCGCCGTTAAACTGATAAACTTGACCACAAATATTCGTATATGGAATGCGTTAACTGCTGATCCAAAAGTGGGAAACATGAACATCATTCAAAACGTTCTGCACCCCCCATTTGCAGTAAGACAGTTTATCATTGCTTTCTCTTATGTTGCAAATTAGCATGTGATTTTATCTTGCATTCCCCCGTCAAAATATTATATGATTGCAAAATGCTTACATTGGAATAATATGTACATATAAACAGTTACAAGATCTTTTATATCTGTTTCTGTATTTGCAAGCATAACTGTCTCCTATGTCTTGAAGGATGTGGACAATTGTACTTTATGCCACTCTGAAGAAAAATGCGGTGCTTCACCATTTTCAAGTATAAAGGCTAGAGTCTGCTCTTCGGATTTAAATGAATCTCAACAGGCTGCAGTTTTGAGCTGTATTGGTGCTAGAGAATGTCATCATCAGAATACTGTCAAACTGATATGGGGACCTCCGGGGACGGGAAAAACTAAGACAGTTTGTTTTCTGTTACATTCCCTCCTTAAGATGAACAGCAGAACACTTACATGTGCTCCGACAAACATTGCTCTATTAGAGGTTGCAAAGCGGCTCGTAAAAGGAGTTAGTGAGTCATCTGCATACAGAGGATACGGGCTCGGAGATATTGTGTTGTTTGGTAACAAGAAGAGAATGAAGATTAAGGATCATGAAGAGATTTATGATGCTTTTCTCGATCACCGTGTCAAAGTACTTAATAAGTGTTTTGCTCCGAAAACTGGATGGAAATGTAATTTACTTGCCATGATTTCTTTGCTCAAGGATCCAAAAAAACAGTATCGTTTATACTTGATGGAAACAAAAGCGAACAACAACCTAAAAGTGAGGGATACTAGTCCTATAACATCCAAAGACAAGAGGGGCAAGAAAACATGGAAGCAAGTTATTTCCAAAACCTTGAAAGAAAACCATAAGAACAAGAAGAAAGGAAAGTCTTGGCAGAAAGAAAAGCAATCAAAGCATGGAGAAGAGGACGGGGATGATGTATCTGGAAAGAAGGAAAAAAATGAGGATGTTAAGGAGACTATTATTCCATTGACTTTCGAGGAGTTTGTGCGGAAGAAGTTCAATTGCTTTGTGGAATGTCTGTACTTTTGTATTGAGAATTTGTATATACACTTGCCAAGCTCTCTTATTTCACTTGAGGTAGTTGGTAAGATGTTCGGAGCTTATCATTCTCTTAAATATTTTCAGAATTTGCTGTGTAATGTTTCGAAGGAAGTATTACTGAATGCCCACAAACAAGATTCAATCTGCAAAGGTAGTAGCTTTATGAAGTTCAATGCTGAAAGGATAAAGACCCTTCATCTGCTAAAATCGCTTCCTTCAGAATTTCCAGCTCCGAATTCTACAGAGGACTATTCTAAGGACATTAGGGGGATGACTATAGAATTCTGCCTGACGAATGCATGCCTGGTTTTTTGTACCGTGTCGAGTTCTGCAAAATTGCACAAAGTAGGGGCAGCAAACCCTTTTGAACTATTGGTTATAGATGAAGCTGCTCAGCTTAAAGAATGTGAATCGGCCATTCCTCTACGACTTTCTGCTATCCGTCATGCTATACTCATTGGAGATGAGCGGCAACTTCCTGCAATGGTGCAAAGCAAGGTTTTTGAGCTTTACTGTTATAGTCCACTTTTCTTTTTTTTTTTCATTTTTCTGAGATGAAGAATCATGTATAACATTCACTTAGTGAGCTTCATACATTCTAATTAACGATGACAGGTTTCGGAAAAGGCAGATTTTGGAAGAAGTTTGTTTGAGAGGTTGGCTTTGCTTGGCCACGAGAAGCACCTTCTTAATGTTCAACATAGGATGCATCCTTCCATAAGTGTGTTTCCGAACAGGGAGTTCTATGATAATCAGATTTTGGATGGTCAGAATGTTAGATTTGAAAACCATGGTAGACATTTCCTTTCAGGAGAAATGTACGGCTCTTACTCCTTCATAAATGTACCGCATGGAAAGGAAGAGTTTAATAACAAGCATAGCAGAAAGAACGTGGTTGAGGTTTCTGTGATCTCTGATATAGTTGCGAGGCTTTACAAAGGTATGTACAAAATATAACAGCCAAACCAGTTCAAGATGGCTTTTGTCAATACTGTTGTACAAAATTTTCTAATGTACGATCTTAAGATTTATAATTGCGAATAACGTTTTTTTTTTTTAATGTTTCTTTATCATCCTGAAGAATTTCTGCGCACAAGAAAGAAGGTAAGAATAGGAGTGATTTCACCATACAAGGCACAAGTTCATGCAATTACTGAGAGAGTTGGGACAAAATATAGTTCAGACGCTCGAAGTGATTTCTCTGTAAGTGTTCGCTCGGTTGATGGATTCCAGGGCGGTGAAGAGGATTTAATAATAATCTCTACTGTTAGATGTAATGTGAGTGGATCAGTTGGCTTTCTTTCTAATCGCCAGAGAACAAATGTCGCCCTAACTCGTGCAAGGTAATAAATATTTTGATATGCTCAAAATTTAATTGTGGTTCAAGCATCCATAGTTTCATTCCCCACTATCCATATATTTAATTATGTAAATATACTGACAGGCATATGCTTATATATTTTGAGTTGACAATGATGCAGGTATTGCCTTTGGATAGTGGGGAATGGAGCAACTTTAGGTAGCAGTATGTCTGTTTGGGAGAAACTAATCAATGATGCCAAGGAGCGCAGCTGTTTTCACAACGCTGAAGAGGATCAGAATTTGGCACATGCTGTGGTAGCCGCTTTGCTTGAGCTTAACCAGATAAATGTTTTAGTTAATGCAGATTCACTTCTGTTCAAACGTGCCAAGTGGAAGGTATTACTCATCTTTCTAAACTCCTTTTATGGCGATACATGACTTTTTGTCTTCCGAAAGGACAAACTTTTTACTTCACATATGGATTTCTTTTGGAGACAAATACACAATTTTCTCAAAAAAAATTGTTCTAGAGGAAGAATTCAATTCTTACATCGACTATCTGAAGATAGATTTGTAAGAGAAATACTTTACTATCTTATTGAATATTGCGGAAAATACAAATAAATAGGCAGCCAAGTTTAGTTGGCTTATCCGAATAAAAGGAAAGATGATCTCCTAATAAAGTGATTGATTTGAATTTGATATTCAAATAAGAATTTATTGACTAATTCCTAATCCTAAACAATCCCGGATAATCACTAGGATAAGATAATGAAAGATTTGAATATCCTAAATCTTCCAAACTGATTTATCCTAATCAAACCCGATTTAGACCATTCTACCCTAATATGTCGACACTCCCCCTCAAGCTTGGACGTAAATGTCTATGAGTCCGAGCTTGCTTGCTAATTCTTCAAACGCTGGTCCGGGTAGTCCTTTAGTTAGAATATCAAACACTTGTTGCTTCGTAGGAACATATTCAACACTGATTATCCCACTCTCAATTTTTTCTGTAATAAAATGTCTGTCAACCTCCACATGTTTAGTAATATCGTGATGGACTAGATTGTATGCTATGCTAATCGTAGCCTTGTTGTCGCAATAGAGCTGCATAGGAAACTCACACTTAATCTTTAATTCTTCCAGTAGTCATTTTATCCAAATTGCCTCACAAATGCCATGAGCCATAGCCCCATATTCAGCTTCAGCACTACTTCTTGCAACTACAGCCTGTTTTTTGCTACGCCAAGTCACCAGGTTTCCCCAAACCTGAGTACAATACCCGGATGTCGACCTCCTATCTTCTTCAGAACCTACCAAATCTGCATCCGTGTAGATTTTCACCTTCCTGTCGTCGTTCTTCCGGAAGAACAGTCCTCTCCCTGGATTCTTCTTAAGGTATCGTAATATGCGGTAGACTATATCAAGATGTGTTTGGCGTGGTGTATGCATGTATTGGCTGACCACGCTGACCGCAAAGGCTATGTCTGGTCTTGTGTGTGAGAGATATATCAATTTTCCCACAAGTCTTTGATATCTACTTGTGTCTACCAGGTCTCCTTCACCTGAATTCGTCCTTCCTCTTGGTTCAATGGGAGAGTCTATGGGCTTGCAACCGAGCATTCCTGTCTCTTCTAATAAGTCCATCGTGTATTTCCTTTGTGATACGGAGATCCCCTTCTTACTCCTTGCAACCTCCATCCGTAAGAAATATTTCATGAATCCTAGGTCCTTGATCTCGAATTTCCTAGCCATAATCTTCTTAATTTCCTCCATCTCTTGGACGTCATCTCCAGTCAAAATGATGTCGTCCACATACACGATCAAGATTGTAACCTTGTTGTTTGCAGAGTGCTTGACAAAGAGAGTATGATTTGTTTGTCCTTGTGAGTATCCGTGGCCTTTGATTACTTTGGAGAATCTTTCAAACCAAGCCCTAGGTGACTGCTTCAAACCGTATAAAGATTTCTTCAGCTTACACACTATATTGTCATGTTTGTCCTCATAGAAACCAGGTGGAAGACTCATATATACTATTTCTTCTAGCTCTCCATTCAGAAATGCATTCTTCACATCAAGTTGATAAAGAGGCCAATCCATATTTGCTGCTAAGGATAAGAGAACCCTAACAGTGTTGAGCTTCGCAACAGAAGCAAATGTTTCTGTGTAGTCTATTCTGTAGGTTTGAGTGAAACCCTTTGCTACCAATCGGGCTTTGTACCGCTCTATTGAACCATCTGGCTTTACTTTAGCTGTGAACACCCACTTGCACCCCACCACTTTCTTGTCTTGTGGTAGTTCTACTATGCTCCACGTCTCGTTTCTCTCAAGGGCATGCATCTCTTCTAGCACCGCAGTCTTCCATTCTGGAACAGCTAGAGCTTCTTCAATTGTCCTGGGAACATCAAGTCTAAAAAGGTTTGTTGTGAAACCACGAAACAAGGGTGATAGATTATCATATGACACAAATTTGGAAATTGGGTGTTTTGTACATGTCCTAACACCTTTTCTTAGAGCAATGGGGTCATTTAGTCTATCATGGAGAGGCTCGGGATTACCTGAGGATGAAGGATTAGGACTCACCATAGGTTCGGATTCAGGGCAGTCCATAGTGCCTGTGAATTGTTTATTTCCTTGAAAATTTTTCCTCCGAGAGTAGACTTGCAGTTTTGGAGGTGGTTGCGGAACTGGCTGTGAACAAGGCTGGGACGGCTGCTCTGGCTGTGAAGACAACTGTGATAGCGGCTGTGAATCTTCCAGTTCAGTTTCGGTTTGGACTGGAATTGGAATGTCGATACTGGGGGCTGACTGTGGGGTCAAGGCTTCTTCAACTGTTGCTGTGACATCCCATTCCCACACATAAGCTTCGGTATCATTACTCTCCCCCTGAAGCAAAGTGTGGGAATAAAAGGGTATTTCTTCAAAAAAGGTACATCTCGGGTGACAAAGGTTTTTTTGGTTTGTGGGAAGAAACACTGATAACCCTTTTTTGTTGGAGAATATCCGAGGAAGATGGTTTTTATGGCTCCGGGGTTGAGTTTGGAGCGATGTTGGGAATGGACGTGGACAAACGCAGTACAACCAAAGGTTTTAAGGGGAAGGTTGTTTGTGAGGATATTAGAGTGTGGGACTTGAGTTGTAAGGACAGACAATGGGGTTTAAAATTTTAGGGGGCGGCTGGGTAGTCTGTTGATGAGAAAGGCTGCGGTTAAGATGGCATCACCCCATAGATGTTTGGGTACATTCATAGTGAACATAAGGGCACGGGCCACTTCCAACAGATGTCGATTCTTTCTTTCTGAAGTTCCATTTTGTTGTGGTGTTTCCATACAAGAACTCTGGTGAATGATTCCATTTTGATCAAGATCATTACCCAAAGTGGACTGGAAGTATTCACCGCCATTATCAGTTCTTAGAACCGAAATCTTTCTCTGAAACTGAGTTTGAACCATTTTATGGAAGGTTTGAAAGATATGGTTGGTTTCAGATTTTTCCCTAAGCAAGTAAACCCAAGTCACCCGTGTATGGTCATCAATAAACGTGATAAACCATCGTTTTCCATTTAAGGTTGTTACCCTAGCAGGGCCCCATATATCACTGTGAATCAAGGAGAAAGGCATAGAGGTGCGTATGATTTTGGTGAGAAAGGTACACGTGTATGCTTTGCAAATTGATAAATATCACAAGTAAATGAAAAAGTATCTTTATTCTTGAATAGTGCTGGTAACAAAAATTTCAAATAGGAAAAACTGGGGTGGCCAAGTCTATGATGCCACAACATTATTTCTTTATTACTAGAAACCGAAATAAAAGACACTCCTGACACATGTGCTTGTCAACTCTCAGATTCTGAATTCTCAAGGAAATAAAGTCCTTCATAGGCTCTAGCACTGCCAATCGTCTTCCCCGACGATAGGTCCTGAAATTGACACATAGAAGGGGAAAAATTAGCTACATAGTTATTGTCACGAGTGAGTTTGCTAATGGACAGCAAGTTACACTTTAAGGTTGGAACATGTAGGATGGAATGAAGAATAAGGTTTTCTGAGATTTGGATTGAATCTATTCCAACAATAGTAGCTAGAGACCCATCGGTAATTTTAATTTTAGCAGTATTAGAATATTGAGTATAGGAGAAAAAGTGTTTGGAACAACCTGTCATGTGGTCAGAGGCACCGGAATCAATGATCCACGGTTCCTGGGCATGAAGTGATGAGATTAAGGCTGAATGGTTACCATTAAGTGTCGTGGTGCACAATCCTACATTAGAAATTGGATTAGACGGTGGTGTGAGAAGACGATAGAGTTGCTCTAACTATTCCTTGCTTAGTGAAATTGAAGATTCTGCGGATTGTTGTTGTGTGGGAGCATCCATTCCATGCTTATCTTGAGAGGCCTAAAAACCTCTTCCTTCATTCTGCTTCCGAGGAGTCTAGTTTGCTGGTTTTCCATGGATTTTTCAGCAAGTGACTTTGGTGTGTCCAGTTCGTTTGCAATGATCACACCAAGGCCGGTTTCTTCTTTGTTGGTTTTCGTTGTGGAATTGTTGTCCTCGTGCGGCTAAGGCAGAGGCATCCGTGGTTGAGTTTCCAGCATCATTAGGCGTCGAGATAACACCACCATTGGAGGTTCCTAGCATTAATTTCTTTCAGCTCTCTTCCTGCTTCAGTTCTGAAAAAACCACACGAACATCTGGTAGAGGCTTCGTACTTAAGATCCTTCCACGAACATCATCTAAGGTTTTATTGAGACCAAGCAAAAACTTGTAAACTCTATCTCTTTCCAAGATTTCCTTGTATTGCTTATGATCCTCGGCACAATGCCAAGCTGATTCGTCAAGGATGTCCAGTTGCTGCCAATGGCGTGATAGAGTATTAAAGTATTCTGTTACGCTTAATTCTCCTTGACGAAGATCATTCAGAATTCCCTTTAGCCTGAAAATCTCTGACGTGTTTTCCCTGTTGGAGTAACTCCGCTTCACTGCATCCCACATCTCTCTTGTTGTTTTGTAATACATGAAGTTTTCTCCCATCTCGGTACTCATGGAGTTGATCAGCCATGACCGAACCATGCTATTTTCTATCTTCCAAGTTTTAAACTTGGGATCTTTTTCATCCGGTTGTGCAGCATCGCCGGTGAGGTAGTCTTCTTTTCCCTTTCCTTCGATGAACATCATTACAGAATGTGACCATTGGACAAAATTTTGTCCATTGAATTTATGACTTGTGATTTGCTGAAAGGAGGCTTCGAATCCATTGATTTGGATCAGATTGACAGCCCCTGAAGAGGCAGAGGTAACATCGGAAGATGAGGTTTCTTTCCCGCCGGCCATCACGTATTTTGTCATTCCGGTTGGCAGAAAAATTAGGTTTCAGAGAGTGGCTCTGATACCATGTTAGTTTACCAATCTATCCCAAAAGCTTAAGCTGTTAGGAGGTGGGCCAATAATAGTTTTATACTTTAATACTCCCCCTCACGTGTGGATTGGACAATGGGCAATCGTATGGGTAAATTAATTATAAAGCCCAACACGTGAATATTTAAGCCCGAGATACATTAAAGACCCAACACATGATGACAATTTAAATGGGGATAAAGAGTGCAATTACGGGGGTTTGAACTCAGGACCTCCCGCTCTGATACCATGAAGATAGATTTGAATGAGAAATACTTTACTATCTTATTGAATATTGCGGAAAATACAAATAAATAGGCAACCAAGTTTAGTTGGCTTATCCGAATAAAAAGAAAAGATAATCTCCTAATAAAGTGACTGATTTGAATTTGATATTCAAATAAGATTTTATTGACTAATTCCTAATCCTAAATAATCCCGGATAATCACTAGGATAAGATAAAGAATGATTTGAATATCCTAAATCTTCCAAACTGATTTATCCTAATCAAACCCAATTTAGACCATTCTACCCTAATATGTCGACACTATCGATGTAGGTGTGCTTCACTAGTGCGTTCTGGACATCAATGAGAAGAGTTAGAAACAAAGAGCTGAGAAAGAAGGTGCTTTCTTTGTTGGAGAAGCTGTCAAGTGGGTGGCGTCAATCGGAAAAGGAGAGAACACATGTTGTCTTACACAGTGGTGGAAGTTTCTCCCTATTTGTAGAGCATTACAAGGTTAATAAACAGTTGTACCTTGTTTGGGCTGTTGACATTCTCAGGGAAATTTCACATTGCACTCAGGTTCTGAAGGTTTGGGATATTTTGCCATTATCCGATATGCCAAACCTATCGAACCAGCTTGACATTTTTTACGGAAGCTATACAATGGAGCAGATGACTCGCTGCATTCACAAGTCCGGTGATGGGTATGCTCCAATACTTGTTCTCTTTTGTATGTTCTACTCCTTTTTCAAATTTTTTTCGTCTTAAAGTCAAGATTTAAGGTGATCATAGAGTATGAATTTCAAGTAGTTGTTCATGTACTTGAGGCGTGTTTATATAAGTGCAATCATACTCGAAAACATGATACAGAAGTAAGCATAGAAAATAGAGTGCTTGCCAGAGAAAGTTGGTAGCAGCGCCACTTGTCATCGAGTTGGTAGAGACGTAGCTATTCCAAGTTTTGTCCATGAAAACACCACTTGTCATGCCCAAATTCTGCAGGAATTTGTTTGTTCCAATGAAATGGCCAGTGGACTCAAGTTCTCATGAAGCAGATACTGTACAGTTCTTGTCAAGGCCAATGGCTTCGCTAAGTTTAAGGGATGCACCAGAGACATCATCAACAACTAAGAGGTGAGTACTATATGCAAATTCTTAGGACAAGAAACCCTGGATTCTTTCTTCTTTAGAATGAACTTTCATATATTCTTTTTTTTTTTTTTAAAGATTTAAGGAGACATGAGACACGCCATTCCATATGGTGAAATAGACATAATGCATTATATAAAACGTTTGATTATTTGTTCTTTAGAACAAATTTTGAAATTTTTGAGATTGGAAGAGGCATGAAAGATGGCTACCTGTGCTTGTCGAGTAAATCCTTATACTGGTTGAACAACAACAACAAAAAAAAAAAAAAAAAAAATCTTAGTGCTACAGATTCTTGCTGATGTGCAATATAAAAACAGCAGTTATAGTAAACTCTTTTTGGCTAAATAAAAAAATTAGTCTCTAAAAAGAAATGGTTGAAAAACCCTTTCATTGTGTTCAATTTAATCCTTTTTTCATAGTTTTGCATCCTTTAAAGATGAACCTCAGAATGACACTTTTGACTACATACTATCAACTGCAATGTTGCTGATATTTCAAGCATTAATTCAGATTCAGAAGTCACTCAAACTACCAAAAGAGCAGGTCCAATGTGGCTACTCAGACATGGCGAGTTTTGCACAAACACTAATGAGGTAAAGATTGCTTTGCATTTTTTGTAAGAGAATTCAGCATCCAATTTCTCCTTCATCTCTTTCCATCCATCAGGTTCTAAACGGCCCTCAATTTATGAGCTAGCAACACATATTTTGTGGGTGTCCATTTAATTATGTTGGGGGCTAATTCATGTCACCAATGCCGGAATCTCTCCGGTCGGTCCATTATGCAATTCCAACGTTCTAAGTTTGCAATCGTCATTGTCAATTTTGCTATTGTATTTTAAGTTTGCAACATATTATATCGTCACTTTTACAGCTACGATCATACATTTTACCTTCCATCAATGATGCTAGGAATTTTCTTCTGACAGTAGAACTTTCAATTTTGTGGCTGGCAGCCATATGTTACTAGTAATGCAATTTCTTCTTTGTTGATTTTTCAATTTCTGGTTTCTTTTCTTTATTTTGCAGGGGAACTGAATTGGCCTATGTTGAGATTTTTACATATTTTGGAGCTAGTCATGAAGAGTGACACTACCAAACCTGTGAGAGACTTGGTTTGATCTTGTACTACTTGTTAAATGAAACAACATAGTTCCTTATAAGTTGATGTTCTAGTCAAATAAAACATCAAAATTGCTTAAATATGAGATTTAAGTTTGTGGTTGTGATGATTTTTTAGTTATTATTTTCATGCCAAAAGGCTGTCTTATTCTCATAATTGCATAAAATAGCAAAGTTGGTAAGAAGACTTGTGCCAGGATTACCAACGGGTATCAAAATTTTCCACTTACGGGGTTTAAAAATTTTCTTTTTTTTTTTTTTTTTTTTTTTTTTTTTTTTTTTTTTTTACTGAAAAAATTTTCAGCTTGATGTTGGAGCTAATTAACTTGTTCTAAATTGTTTCAATATTGATTTTGGCAATTTTTTAGGCAAACAACGTTTGATAACTGCTTTTGAATTTGTAAAATTGAAAGAAAACATTGGATATTACAAATTCTTGCATTCCATTTGCCAGCATGTGAAGACTCAATTAGCTGTTCTAATGATAAAAAAAAAAAAGTTTCCAATGCGTGGTCACAATTTTTGAGGTTACATCAGACTGAAATCCAGTTGCCAAATTTAAGAGGAACATTTGAAAAAAAGAAAAGACATTATTGTGATACGTACTAAACCATAATTTCAGTCTTATTATATGTTTGAACAGGTAGGAGGTTTGGAAGCAATAATGAATTTCACATGGCAATCGATAGGAGGATATAACAGATGCATAAAAGAAATGAATTTATATTCTCATTAACACACCCCTGAAATTTAAATGCCAAATGCCATATGATGTTGGGTTCTAGTCTCGAATCTCGATATTCCATATATACCTTCTGTTTCTTTGAAATTCATTTTCTGGTCTCTATCCTAGTTTCCAGGGACAGCTGAACTTTCCGAGTAATAATCAACTCATTTCTCATTTTGCTATACCAGGCTTGAAATTTGGAATTCCATGGTCAAAACTGTAGTAGTATGAAGCTTCTTTTCGTAAGGAATTTACCGTAATTGTCATTCCACTCTCTTTGGAGGAAGCAATCGCTTTCATTTTCTGGAATAGCGGTCTACTAGTGCCTTGGCTTTTTCCGGTGCAAAAAACCGTGCCTACAAATAACCACCACAGATTATTAGGCCACACGAAATGTGTAAATAAATTTTCTAACTTCTGTGTATACTCTAAGTGATTTCAACATAAGTAAGGCGGCCAAACTGATATCAAAAGAAAGCAAGTAAAGGGCGGCAATCTAACATTAATAGTATACAGTTTCTTAACACCCAAGTAAGCCTCTCGAGCTGTTAGAATGCCCAACATCTTTGTATGACAGCACAAAAACAACTCTAATGGTGCTTTAGACTGCAAGCTTAATGTACTCACTTGTATGAACATCCGCTCCGCATCTCCAACATTACCATTTTCTTTCAAAATGATTCCCTGAAAAAGAATCAGACGCATAAAACTTTAGTATCACAATATAAATATAAATAAAAACAGGATAAAAAAAAACTAATCAAATAAAATTACAGAACCTTTGCCAAGTAACCACGAAAGTCTTCAGGGTGGCTAGAGATGAGCTGATCATAAACAGATACAGCATCACTAATATGGCCCCAATCCGAATAGGCTTTCCCCAGTAGTAAATCAACCTGAAAATTCATCACATGCAACCAAAAGGAAATAAGAAAATGCTCATTTGACATTTTTATGTCTCAAGAAAAATGTTCAGCACAAAAATTGAAGGCATATCCATCTGGTACTGCTCCTATTATTCGTGTAATAAATACATTGACTATTTAGAGAGAGGGGGAAGGAAAAAAGGCCTATCTTTTCAGAGAAAAGGCAAGACGCTTCCGATACATGACTAGAAGTTAGACCCCACGTTTTAGTGATTCTTACATATATACCATCCTTTTCTGTTTTGATAGTACTTTGTCTGAGTAGTTATGTCCCGTACAACAGAAAAATAGATAGAACTCACTTGAATAGGGTCCATTTTCTGTGTCTGTGTTTCCCCTGTACTGCTTTCAGTTTTTGCATCAGAATTTTCTTTACTTAGGCGCTCCCGGGAGGCAAGAAGGAACTGGACAGCCTATGAGCGAAAGAAAAGAATAAAATACAGTTATATTCCGATCCTTTAGCATCATATTGTTAATTTCAGATACATTAGTTCAGCGTCATTAACATTCAACTTATTGCCTCGAAACTTTTAACATATAATATATACAATTGAAGCTCAGAATAGAATTGTAATTCCTTCAGAAATTCGTAAAGACAAACACAAAAAGCTTGAACCTATCATCTAACTAAAGCTATTTTCTAGAGAGTATAATATATACAATTGAAGCTCAGAGTAGAATGGTAATTCGTTCAGGAATTCGTAAATACAAACACAAAAAGCTTGAACCTATCATCTAACTAGAGCTATTTTCTAGAGATAAGCTTATATTGATTTCCAAACTTTCACAGGCTAATCTATAGTTTAAACATTAATTTTGCAGCAAACTTAACAAAGAATCACTGCAAATATGCAACGTGGTTCCTAATGTGGCAGCAAACCTCATCTGGTTTCTTAGCAGCAAGTAATGCATTTGTGCGGCCACGTAGAACTTCAAAATCAAGGTATTTAGACACCTGTTGCATGATTGTTAACAAAATGTTAAGGAATGACATCATTGAAATTCACGTTAGTGGTATGCTCATATAGTCATATTCCTTGGTCATCAAACTATGCTTCAGGGAATCTTGGGATAAAACTCATCACTAAATGTTCCACAACCACTTTTCACTACGTTTCACGTGGCAATCAAATTAATGTATTTCCTACCTAAGTTGCTTTTAATGTTGGACTAAAAAATCAATACAAGATGAAATGTGAACCGTAAAAATATTACAGCAAACAATTAATCTGAGAAACATGGGATCTAAAAATGTAGATTCACACATCAGTATATGTTATTAAAATTGAGTTAAATAGATAGGGCATAACTTCTAAATATCCTTACTTTAACCATCGTAGCTCAATCCTGTTGGATCGGAAATACTCTCCATAAAATCATTATAATAGTGTCAGCAGAAAAAATAAAATGACAGAAACTATTTGTTCTATAAAAATAAAGGCACAAAGAAACAAGTTACTTAGAGGCAAAGAAAAACTAGTTTTCCCCTCCTCGAATACTAGTGCTATTTTAATTATCAATATACACAAAAAAAGATAAAACTTCAAATGAATCCTTTATCATGTGTTTTCCAAATTTTATACAACAAAACTGGTACACATTGTTCACTGGTATGATAGCTGGGTTCAGTTAATAGGTAAGTTTTGTATTTTGTATCACTAGGCAAAACAGCAATAGGAAAATTCCCTGCAGGAAAAGATAAAGACATACTTTTGAAGAAGTCTTGTATGCATCAGCACTTCCCTCATAATCCTTTAGTTTGTACTTAACTTCACCAAGCAAAAGAAAAACATCAGGATCACTTGGCTTCTCCTGTTTCAGTTTAACACAAAAAGATGAATTCAAACAATTGTTTGAGTAGCTTCTGGTGAATATGATTTATGATTTCAAAAAAGCAACCACACCTTGGTCAAGTCCTCAAGCAGAGAGGCAGCCCGAGTATATTCTCCTAACTCTGCCAAGGTTACAGCAGCACCCTGCATATCCAAAACACATTTAGCATGAACGCTGCAGGAATATAAATGATTAATCAGAACATCATAATAAGTAAAAACTAGCATGATCTTTCCTTAAACTTTTCACAATTCCTGTCATTCTCAATTAGACGAAAAAGTGAAGCTTTCTCGCATGTTTTCTACATATTTCCCTTTTCTTTTTTCTTTATACAATTTAAGAGATGGCCAGAGGTTTGTCCCGCTATCTTTATTTATTTTCTTTCCACAAAGACTTTTGTCTGAAGAAAAAAATACAACCAAAAAACAATATTTTTCCCCTTATTTCAATTATAAATATATATTTGTTCCCTTTTTTGAAAAAAGACAAAAGCTATGGTGTAAGCTCGACATTTTTTTTTTATTTGAGACAGGAAAAAGAAAATGATCCATTTCATATTATTCCCATAACCAACTAAAACAATCCACATATCAGCTTATTTACCCGTTTTACAATGGGAAAACTAAACAGTCAACACATCAACTACTATACCCATTTCTATCTCCATTGAACTAAAAACTAAAAAGCATTACCATCAATTTTAGCTCCTTAGCATCATAACGAATATCAGGAGCACCAAACTAAACCTTTCTACATGGTGGCAGAAAACAGTACACAAGTAAAAGAACAATATCTTGTATAACAGTTTGCTGCTCACCTCAAGAGCAGTTGGATCTTTCGGTGAATTACTGAGCGTTGCCTCATATTCCTTTAGCTGAGTCTGCCATGAATCGTAAGTAAAATATTAGCACCGGTTTGTAGCTCATCTCAAGAGCATTGCCACATGATACTAATGCTTTAATTTCTTCTAGCATATTATCTATGAAGCACCAGAAATTTTTTTATTCTTATGGATGTAGAAATTAGCAATATTACAATATTAAATAACAGGATGTCTTCCATCTAGAAAGACTAGGCTAATTGCTCTACACAACTTCTCTCTCTCTCTCTCTCTCTCCCACCACTTCTCTCCTTGAAGAAAAGAAATTAGTAACTGATAACTGATAGGAATCTTACCTGAAGAATAGTCTTTTCTTCTTTTGACAGTTGATTATCAACAACTGCAGCTTCCTCAGAAGGACCAATACTGAAAACTTGAAGACCACATCAAATGATATCATTTCTCTGGAAAATAAGCAATAATGATATTAAAGAAAGCACTTCAACTGGTAAAAAGAGAATCAAAGAGATGCCCAATAAATCCAAACACTAAAAAGATTAAATTTTTGTAGCAATATACTTATATAGGCTTTCCAAAACAGATAAACCCAAGAGATCTACGAATATTTTGTGAAATTCGAGAAATAAAAAATTATTGAAAAAAGTGAGAACTTTTAAAATGTACATATATGAAGTTGTTTACAATTTTTTTTTTAATAAAATCCTCCAAGGAATTCTTAGTATCAGCCAGAAACCAAAGCATTAGAAAGAAAATCAGTTGACAAAATAAGTAGTAGGATATTAAAGCAAACAATAGTACACATTTTTGGTGCTTAAAAGAAGTTACTCTTGGCCGTTCAACCCCCTTAAAGCAAAAATAAATTTGAGATTGCAATTTATGCGATGTTGGATGATAATCAAGCATCCTTTCTTCCAGAAATATGGAATAAACAATATCATAATACCAAAACACCCCAAAGGGCTACAGGAAATCAGACAAACAGATTCTCATGATCATCTGCAAGTAATCTACACCGTACATAGTGCTAGAAAAACCGGCAAAGCCAATTCCTGATGAGCTTATAAACTTTGAAGCGACCTCATTTGTGCTCATATTTAATAGGAAAGTAAATGTTTTCAAGACTCGCAAAAATTTGTTGGCAGACAAGAAAGCAGGCCCTTGATTTAGGTGATCCTTCCTCTAGACACATAGAAACACACTCTAGATTTGAAGGACAGATTAACTGACAATTATGCCATCACAAGTCCTTTGTGAACAGTTATAGAATTTTGTGGAGAAAGGGGAAGAGAAAGGAAAAGGGGAAGAGTGATTCTATCTTTTTTTATACCCACTAGTTGGATCTTATCAAAAAACTAAAGCAACTTTTGTTACACACAAAAAAACAAAATATCAAAAATAAAGATTACATGATATACGTTTCTCAAACTATACATTTTTATGAAATTGAAATGCATATGTGTGTGTGTGTAAAAGACAGAGGATAGGAAAAAGCAATTAACTATTTTTTTTTCCCTATTTTAGGATCTTCAGTGAATAGACACTATCCAAAAACACGAGCAACTTTTGTTACTTGCAACAACAAAAAAAGTATATATATCAAATGGTATCAAGTATTTCAAATTTAAAAAATGTCTGTGCGTGCGTAAATGTTTCAACGACCATTATTGCATACCTTCCTGTGGGAAGAAAGTCTCCCAATGCAAATACCAAGCCAAAAACCGCGACAGCTACACCTACTCCAATCTATTTGATATTGCGCTTCTATTAGTGATATCCATACAATAAAATATGCTTTTAGAACTCAAATATGAATTCATAGGGATTAAAAGCAAAGACAGTCCGGTCTTACCTTAGTCCCAAGTCCAATTGTTTTCTTCTCTGATTCAATAGGTACATCATAGTCAATTGCTCCAAATTCCTTTTCCTCTTCTACCTTTTTCTGCTCAAGTGCTGCCCTGAGAATGGTGGTTAACACAGACCAAAATTCATAGATGAAATGGAAATCATATCAAATATTACTGCATTTTGCAGTAAATGACCAAATAAATTGTTACCAGAAAAACGCAAGTAAATTACTACACGTAAGAAATCAATAACTAAATAACTAATAGAAATGCTTCAACGAAACCAGTTCAAACTGACACATGGATAGATCAAAGGAAAATACCAAAGGACGCTCAAAATGAACAGAGGTTTTTCTGACGTAAGAAATCACAAAAGTAACAGATGTCAACGTTATTCAGAATGTTCTAATGGGACAACAGGAACAAACATGGTCTCTTTGAATTTGCAATGTCCCTCCCAAGAGAATGACATAAGGAGAAAGGTCCAAAAATTAAATTTAACCCTTGAGAAAAGATAGTAACAGCAAAAACTAAAAACTCTATACCTTTTAATTGCTTTCAGTCGCTCCTCAAAATCAACGTCTATCGAAGAATTCTTAGATTTCCCACCAAACTGAGACCTTAAACCAGGCGCTTCTGCAAAGATAAATTCTTGTTGAGTTCAGCAGAACCAAAAACCAATATACGAAAAATGAAAGAAAATAGAAGCACCTTATCCATATAGGAGAAGGGACAATATTTGTTTATTTTATTTTACTTTGTTATTTTTATCATTTTGATCTAATTTCAGGTCTTGAACATACTTCTATTGTTTTTATTGTTAATCTAAATAGATTAGTATGAAAAAAAAAAAAAAAAAAAAAAAAAAAAAAAAACAACAACTATGGTACGACAACTAGTTTTGAAAGTTTTAAGATAGAAAATTATAAAATCAAGAAAACTATAGTATGACTCGCCCGGTGTACGCAAGAAGTGTGAAGTTAAAGAAGTAAACACAGAGGAATCGAACAATCAACTTACGAGCAGGCTCGCTTCCGGAACGTCTAGCTGCCGATTTCCTGCAACAAGAAATGATAACAATTACAAAAAGAAGTATTGAATTGCAATGTACAGATAAATAATTATGCACAAATTTTCATCAGAGCCCCAATTGATGATAATGTCTGAAAAATGTACATGTTTCAAAATGTGACGCACACATATTTCTCACAAGTTTGGCCAGAACAAACTGTTACTCCGAAACTTCACAGAAGTTCATTATTCCAGAAATTGAATTTTTCTTTTTCCCTTAGTTTCATTTACGTTATAACTTATCCAAAACATAACTAAATTCGTAGGATATTAAAATTTCACAACAAGGCACAATCATAAATATGAAATTAGAAAGTACCTTTGGTCTATTACCAACCCCTTGTTTTTCTTGCCCTGAAAAGTAACAAATTTGAAAATATAGTTTTTTGACCAAAAAAAAAAAAAACAGACAAATTAGGAATAAATGGAGTGTTTTTTGTTGTTCTGAAAATCCTTACTTTATTGGTTTTGTTGTTGTCGTTGGTGTTGGGTCCGAAACCACGCTTGGGATTGGAATTTGAATTGGAATCAGAGCATCGAATGGGATTCGGAAGCAAGACGAAACGACTTGCCGTTGCGATTGACATTTACGCCTCGATTTGTTTTGTGCAAAGAAAAGAATAGAATTTCTCGGTGTTTGTTCTTTCCGATGCTGATTTTTTCGTTGATAAAGATTTCAAGCAACGTATCCCTTCCTCAAAATAATAATACCTTGAAATGAAAGAAATTTCAACAACGAAATTGGGATTTTGTAGGCCTGACTCGGGAAAAAAATTGAAGCTTACGAAGAAGATGAAAATCTTTGGACAATTCTCTTTCCTATCAGTGTAGGGGTGGGGCCCCCATATCTGAAAGGCGCCTTTGGTTATCCACCTCTAGCTCATGGATATACTAATTTTTGAGATAAAAAAATACTGTAATAAAAACGTAATTAAAAAAAGTTTAATGATATAAATTTTTAAAAAAGATTTAATTTTAATTTTAGTTTATTATTTTATAAAATTTTTGTTTCGTAAGAAAAATAATTAGCGTACATTTAGTTTAAATATTCATGTCATGATTTTTGACTCATTACAGTATTTTTTTCTCATAAAAAAACACACATAAATTAAAAATAATTTTGAATTCATTAATCAAACGTTCTCTTAGTGGGTCAACATTATACTACAATTAATGAAATATATTTGAGAAATTATTTATGAGAGACAATTAGCCAGATAAATATTTACAAGAGTCTCATTTGTTTTTATAATTGGAGGAAATTACTCTAATTAAATAAGCACATTATCTATATTAAAAATTAAAGAAGTCTGAAAAATAAAATAAGCCTCATTATTTGTCTCTTAAAATATGATTTATCTAAGAACATCAAACTCATTATAATTAAAATTATTAGCTTCTAGAACTTAAAATATTATCAATGCATCAGACTCTACTTCATAGAGATTTAATCCTCATCTCTAGTCCAAACTAAACTTAAAGGCTTCACCTTAAACCTCACGAACAGTGAAAGCACCATCTAACTTTTTATTTATTTATTAACCAATGTGAAAGAGATTCTGTTAATCATTTAGGGATTGTTTAGTTAGAGAATTTATATCCCAATTTAAATCATAATTCATAATTTATTATAATATTTTTTTTCATAAAAAATACACATAAATTAAAATTAATTATAATCTTATAATTCTAATAATGAACCAAGGTCTACTTAGTTAATAATTACTGGGAAAAAACTGGGAAAAAGAAGTAAGTCATTGACTATTTTCTTTAAAAATAATAAAGTGGCTAGCAGAAGGGGGGGGGGTTTTTTTTTTTTTTTTTTTTTTTTTTTTTGCATTTTCCGCAAAAATGTAGAGCATTTCGTCAGTCAATTGGTGTTCATTAGCTGTTGAACTAACAAGCCTCCATGAAGATTAGACGATTGAATTTATCCAACAGAAAACCCAACCCTAAACCAAACCCCATTATCACCCCTCCGCCAGATGGAGAAACATTCCATTGTCACCAGCCATAAATAAATCCTTAAATTCAACAACTCGTGAATTTTTCTCAACTAAAAATAATTCTTCCCATTTATATTTCCCCAAACAAACTGGAAAGAAGAAAGGGGCTTCAAAACAAACCCATCACTAACAGAATCAACCCAAAAAGACAAGAAACGAAAAGCAATTTCCTCAAAAATCGAGAAATCTAAGAATGAGAATCGGAATCCTTAGTAACAGTCCTGACAGAGCTCCAAATCTGAGAAACAGCACCAACAAAGTGCGGGAGAACAGAGTCGAATCCCTTGAGAGCGAAGCCGGAGGCGAGTCCGATAGCAAACGTCTGGACATAGCCAGGCTTGGAGTCGAGCTTGGCGTCGACGACGGCAAGGCGGGAGTTGGTGGAGTCGAGCTTGCGAGAGGCGTCGAGGAGGAGCTTATCCTTCTTGGCTCGGCCGGAAGAGATGACTCTGAAGAGCGCCGACTGGAGATCCTCAATCACCTTCACGCTCGCCTCTCGGGAGTCGAGCCCTTGGGATTCGTAGTGCGATATCAGCTCCTGCGGGCTCGGCAGCTTTCTCTTCTGGCTTTGGCTCTGAGGGAGGGGTTTTGGGGTTCCTGGCTTCTCCATTAGAATTTTCAATTTACAGACAGAGAAGAATGCTAAGGGCTGTTGTCACGAGCAAGAAAGAATATATACAACGAAGAAATTCCCTTCCTTCGCAAAATCAAAATTTCGTCGAGACCCCTGTATTTAACTCTATTTATTTAAGTTGAGACATAACATGATTATAATATAAAAAAATTACAGAATTTACTCTTAAAGTACATAAAACTAAATTTTTACACCTATTTTTGATTAATACTCTTTTATTAGTATAGTTATTTGACTAAAAAAGTTATTAATCAAGAGTAAAAAATAAAAATCCTGACTCATACACTTTTAAGAGTATTTGTAAGCCACAATGCCCAACCCGGCGTTGTTGCGACCCACCCCAAGGCTCCACATTGTCTCTTCGCTCCGCCCCCTGCGTAATGCCATGGGCAATTGCACCCCGCACAAGAGCTTGCATCAACTACCTCGCACAATGTTGAATCTCTCCAAGATACAATGGATTGTAGGCCCTGTTCATTTTACCGATTCGAGTTTTGCTGCAGTAAATGCTATCAGATGCAATCACATCTAATTTTTTTATTACAGATTAAAGCTCTTACATAAAGTCACGTCTCAACTCGAATTAAAACTTGAATCAGTGAACTAAACGGGCCCGTAGTTTATTTCCTTTTTGTTTTTTTAAGATTATTGATGATTTTATAAAATAAGATGTAATCTATTTAGACAATGAAATAGATGGGTTTTTTTTTATTTTTATTTTTTAAAAACAGAATTGATAAAATTTTATTTTGGTTTTTTAGCAAAAGGATTGAAATAAGTTATTAGTATAAATTTTCCATTTAAATGTAATTGTTAAATTTGAGTTTAGAGAAAATTAGTAATAAATTAGAGAATCAGTGCTTCTAAAATTAATTTGATAATTTTTTATGATTTTTTTTAACAAAAGGGAGGGTTTTTTTTTTTGGGGAGTGGGCAAAATAAAATAGGAATAAAATCATTTTGATACTATGTGTTATAGCAAAACATGATCTTGGTATCCTGTGTTTTTAAGTTTTGAATAGTATTAGAAAGGTGCCTTGATGTTTTTAAAAACATCTTATTGGTATCTTGAAGCTTATTTTTGAGACGTAAAATGACCTTAGTACCATGTTATTTAATTAATTAAAAACTAATAAATCTAGAAAAAAAAAATCATTAACTCTTTTATTTTGTTATTTTTTATAAATATTTTAATGTTTTAAAATATTTTCATATTTTTTTAAATATTGATTTCTATTTTTATAATAAGAAGGGTAATTTAGAAATAACATGTTTCAAAAATCAGTTTCAGTGTATTAAGAAAATATTTTTAAAATTATTGAAGTGTCATTTTAATATTATCAAAAACACAAGATACTAAAAATATGTTTCATTATAACGTAGGATACTAAAATAATTTTAATCTCAACAAAATATTACGAGTATAAGGGTCACACAATCTCTTTTTTTTTTTAACTGAATAAGGGTAAGAATATTAATTTTATATTTATAAGTGGAAGGTTTTTGTATGGAAGGAGGGATATCTTAGGCAAAAAATATTTGACGGCCAAAATACAAAAAAAAATTTCTTTGTTTATGGTCCATTGATGGATGTAAGTGTTGTTGTGACTCTTTTTAAAAAGTCGGAGGGCTGTTCATATAAATTGTTTCAGTAAAGGGGATCTATTTGTAATATATGCAAAACACAAAGAGTGTCAATATAAAAATCCCTCTACCATATGTAATATCTTTTTATAACATTATTTTAATAAGGAAGTTTTTTTAAGATGATTAAAAAAAATGAACTATTAATAATTTTTTATTTTTAGTCTTAAATCTATCATAAAAATTATTTGTTTTACATATTTTTTTAATCTAATATGATTTTAACTTAATTTAATAATTAGAAATTGACACTACTCTAGCTTACTAAAAAAAGTCCTCTTAATAAATGCCACAATTTTTATTTAAATGGAAAAATCACAATTTTAAAAAAGGAATAAATAATATCAATCATAATTGATTAAAAATATATGAAAATATATTTGATGTCATGCCATCATTCCGTTTGTAGTATAGATAGAAAGGATGCTTTGAAAAATTTTACATAATTCAGAAGATAAAAATGAACTCTTTTCAGAGTTTACGGTCCCGTTCATTTCGCTGATTCGAGTTTAGAATTCGAGTTTTTTTACAGTAAAAAGCTCTCACAAACAATCACATTTAACTTTTTTACTACAGTAAAAAGCTCTCACATAAAATCACATCTCAACTCGAATTAAAAACTCGAATCAACGAACTAAACGGACCCTACGTGTATATAGTTGAAAGAGAAAAAAGAAAAATATCCTAGAAATAGAAACTTCTTAGATGTTTAATCATCAATATTATCTCATAAATTGTTACACTTTTTAACTATAAATAGTCAGATGTCCATTAAAAAGATTATCAAAATTACCCTCAATGATACCTTAGTAAATTACTAATGCAGACAATTACCAACCGCCGACTTCGATCACTGATCACTTAAACCACCATTAAATTATCGGTGATGTTTCTAGCACCAAAAAAAAAAAAAAAAAAAGGTTAATCAGTGATGTATCACAAATTTGTAAACTAGTGATACACGATATGTTCCTACTTCAACAAAGCTTGGATCATTTACTTGAAAAAAAAAAAGCTTAAAAACGATCATTTTGCACATATCCCACGAGAGTTCTTGAGTAGCTCTCAATCGTCTAAAACTCCTCCTAGTTGTTTAAAACAACGTTTTGCATAATGCTTTCACCCCGCCACTGTCACAAAGGTAGTCTTCAACTCTTCATATTATTCCGAGTCTTCCCATAACAAATCTGCCCTATATTCACATTATACCAACATTTACCGATCAGAAATAGATAAATCCGACTTAAAAAGAGAGAATTTCTCCTAAAATCTGGCCTATTAGTAGTCTTAATTTATGATTGTTAAATCAAATTAAAATCACATTATATTAAAAAAATCTTATTAATAGTCTTAATTTTTAACTCTTAAATATAATTAAAATCATATCAAATTAAAAAAAAATATATAACAAATATATTCTAATACATATTAAAAATAAGAACTATCGGTAATACATGAACCAGCGGAGAAAGTCCCCAAGGAAAGCAAAAGAAAAAGATGCCCACACACCTCAACTAACTGGCCCATCTTCTACTGCTGCTGGTGCTGCTCTCTCTCTCTCTCTCTCTCTCTCTCTCTCTCTCCAGATCTGCTCCTGCATTTTCGTTGGGTTGGTCTTCATAACTGGGTTCCTCTCTAGCAGTTGGTTTCCTCCCTCTTGTCGTGGAGTTTCTCCTCATCGCCCTTGTTTGGAGTGAGGCTGCCTAACAAGTATTTTATCATCATCATCATCATCAATGTCCCGCTTGTAGTTTTACAAGTTGGGACACATACAACTTGTTTTTGTTTTTGTCCTTTTTTTCATTTTTCAAGGACTATACTTGATTAATTGCTGCATAATGAAAGGGGTAAGGAAGGCACTAGACAAGACTCAGGTGGTGAAAAAGTCATGCACTCCTGAGTAATGGCCGAACGTGATTTTATACAAGTATATTTCAGAGAAGTAATGCTTTTAAAAGTTTTATGGGGGTTGAAAAATTCCAACCTTATCTCAATTATCATATTTCTCTATAGCAGTACTATTGTGTTATACCTCCTGTCTGGCCGGTACGGATCACCTTATATTTCCCAAAGTGGGTGCTAAAGAAGCTTATGGTTTCTGGATCTCCAGAGGCATTTGATATGGCTATTGCTTCCTCTTCTTCTTTTGCTTTCTCTGGTTCGAAAATGTACGATGTGTTCATTAGTTTCAGAGGAGAAGATACTCACAATACTTTTACTAGTCATCTTTATGCCGGTGTCGGAAAAAGATTAAAACCTACATAGACGAGGAGAGTCTTAGGAAAGGAGATGAAATCTCACCTGCCCTCTTGAAAGCGATCGAAGAATCAAAGCTCGCTGTTATAGTTTTCTCGCAAAACTATGCCTCCTCCAAACAACCATATTTTCAAGTGCAAGGGGAAAGATAAACAGCTTCTTGTTGCACCCATCTTTTATCATGTAGATCCATCTCCTGTGCGGAAACAAAACGGAAGTTATGGAGTTGCTTTTGGTAGACATGAAGAACGTTTTAAGGACAAAATTGAAAAAGTGCATCAATGGAGGGTTGCTATGGCTGAAGCAGCTAATTTATCTGGTTGGCATCTCACAGCCACTACTGGGTAACCCCCCATCACTTTCAGCTCACCTTTTACTTCGTTGTCATATATAGATATTTAGTTGACATGTGTTTTAAGCAATTATATATTTTATTTATCAACCGAGAAAGGAGCAAGTAAGAAGATTTTAAGAGTAAATGTTAGTTAATAGTTATAGAAACATTTACTTCTTTTCTTCTTTTTGACAGCAGCACTCCACAACAGAGAGAGAAATTTATTAAAAGAAGGCTCATAGACATCAGAGAAACTTATTACTTGGACTAAAAACCGAAATACACCTTATTAATCTAGTCACAAAATATACTTGCATATGTACACAATTTATGAAACAAAGTTCAAGTAGATTCCTAAATGTGTTTATTAGATAAAAAAAAATTAAAAAAAAAGAAGGAAAACTAGAGACTAATTTCTCATGTTTTGTGTCTCCAACATCATCAAATTGTCGGTTATGAGAAATGGAAATAGAAACTTACTTTATATGACAAATACAACAAACGAATAGTATGAAAAATAATGTTAAATTGTCACAATGAGTTTGTCACAATATTCATTGTTGTCTAGTAGTAATTATGGAGCTTATGATTACTAAATGTGTTGTGTTGTTCCTATAATATGTCAGGTCAGAATCTAAACTAATCGAAGCCATTGTCAAAGATATCATAGCAAAACTGAATAGTATATCTTCAAGTGATTATTCCGAGGACCTAGTTGGAATTGATAAACGAGTCGGCCAAATTGCAATGTTGTTGGATAG